TTTTGTCTTAGATTTCATTTAAAAGTTAATAAAGTAATTCTTTATGCTACTACTAATTAGGGAGGCAACTTTGTATTTTTGTCAAGACAAAAATGTAAAATATGTAAATATTTAATATCAATCAATAAATATTAATTTTAAGTAGCAGGAAAAGGTTAATTTCTTCCTTTCCTTATAATTAAAAAAATATCTTTGTGAAAATACTAAATATAAGAGAGTCAACAGTTATCAGTTTGCAAAAATGACATTCATTCGTGTCAACCGAATTCTTTCTATCTAATTAAGTACCCTTCAGGGTGTGTGATTCACCATAGATGAATCCAATACCCATCGTGGACCCTTCAGGGAGCATTGGTCTCAGGTGACTTCCTAAACGCCGTTTTCAAATATTTTTGTAACAAAGGAGATAATTGACACCGTGAACAACAGATTATACCATTACAAAAAGAACGCCAAATTCGGTTGCTTTAAACCAATCTTTAATGTTTACTAAGTTTTCGAACTACTTTGTTATTAGAACAAATTTCGAATTCTTCAACTGTTAATTATTTTTTATTTCTCTCCAACTATGTTCTCATTTTTTTATTTTGAGGATAGGATGTAATGAAAGACGGTTATTTACTTAATATGGCCCGTACCTGATCAAAAGTATCCAGCATTTTATTACTTCTTATTTTTTAACTACTTTTTTCTTCTTCAATTAGTATTTTTCTTTAATTATCTTTTATTTAACAACTTTATGTATTTAACGGCTTCTTTTATTTTTAATATTTCCTTGAAGGGGCGTGCTATTTATTCAACATTGCCCATATCTACTTAAAGGGTCAACATCATCAACTGCTTTTTTATTTCTAAGATACCAATTTTACTTCAATTTTTTTTATTTTTTATCCTTATGTATTCAACAATTTTTTCTTATTTCGACCATTTCCATGAAGGGATGTTCTATTAGGATATGTGTGCCATTTAGTTAATTTGTTCAGTATCTGCTTAAAGCTTCAAACTCGTTAACTATTTTTTATTACTTTATCTATTCTTTATTTTTGTTTAAGTAGTTTACATTTTTGATCGGTAGCGTTAGACATGGTTTCTTCCGAACGGATCCACGCTTTGCACAGTGCCAAGGTAGATCTCAACTGCCCAGGCGCTAATATCCTACGACTGACACGTCCAGAAAGCCCGCTGGAGAGATAAGTCTTAACCACATCCACATCCTCCCGATTTGTTTTCTCGGGTCTTAATTCTGCTCAATGAATGACTTTCTTAATGTCAATCGTCAATTGAATCTAAATAACTCTGATTTCGAAGTTATTTTAAGGTGAAAATCTGTTGACTCACTTATTTAGTAAAATAGTATAAATTTAAGTTTAATTCTTTTTCTTTGTTTACTCATGTTTTTTTTGCAAGTTAATTTGAGCTTTTCATTTTATGGCAAGTTTTAGATTTAGCACATTTTTGAAATACTTGCATATTTTACAGTAATGTCTGAGCTACTTATCCAAAGTAGTGTCGGAACAACGGTCTTTCTTAAGGAAAACAGGATGCAGAAAACGTCGAACTTTCTACGAGACAAAACCGATTGATTTTCGCAAAGAAATTCCTTTACCGATTGTTATTGATTTTTATAGTCTATTTTAAGGGGACACCTAAGTCACCTAAAAACAATGCAAAAAGAGTCAACTTTCGGTACACTTTTCTCGAAAACTATTATTCCAATTGCGTTCGCCCTTTTTTCATTCGATTACAAATATAATCAATTATATGAATAAGAAGTTATACGACGTTATCTTTAATAGAAACTTTTTTATGAATATTTATACCAAAAGCAAAATAAAAATCCCATTTTCTCTCATTTATTGACTCATATCTCCGTTTGTACAACTCAAAATGATGTTAAACTTCTTATTCGTATTCTTGGAACCTTACTGAACAAAGTAAAAAAAATTAAAAATCGGTTTAGTAGATTCGGAGAAAAGTGTACCGAAAGTTTAAAAATTGGAAAAAAACAATTTTTACAGGAGACACGAAAAAAGAAAAAATACTAAAAACTCATGGTATTCAGAATCATGTAATCAGATTATTTTAACTCTTCAGAAAAAGTTTTAAAAAGTCTTGTTCTATTCCTAATTGAGTCTACTTTTAGAAAATCACATAAAAAAAAATCGATTTTTTTGTCATTTTTCTACTTAGGTGTCCCCTTAACTGTACCAGAAAATTACCGTCATTTCTCAATAAACTCTTTAGCGTTCTAAATATTTTTATAAACTCTTAAACCTCAGAGTAAATTATCAAGTTTTTTATGCATTTTGTATTTTTATATATTAAATTACAGGAATCAAGTGAGTCAAAAGATTCATCATTAAATGAATCATGCTGAGTTCCCTGACTACCAAGTTTAACGAGTATATTGGGAATGTTCATAAACTTTGTGTGACTGCTCAATTCATAACCAGTCAAGGATGTACCAACGGATGTTCATGAGCTTGCGTCACGGTCTAATTCCAAACCCCTCGTTCTAACCAATTGACTCTTTTTACATCAATCGAATATAAGCTAAAAGTAATCTAATTGTTTTAAGAGAATGCTTTTGACTCACTCTCTTCTCGTAATATTCTTTAATTACTTTCATCAATAATACCCTACTAATATTAATCTACAATAATTATAAGTTCTGAGCTTGTTATTAATACATTTTACAGAAACTTTGATTTTAGAATCTCATATTTGATATTAAATTTATCATTGATAAAATTAAGTATAAATTTTAATTGAAACGTATACTTTGACTGTTCCTTTGAGGGCTTGGTTAGCCTTAGGAACTTATTTTTTTAAATAAATAAAATATAGGATATATTTAACTTATTCCCTTATTTGTTGAACAAAGGAAGATGATGGTTATCAGTCTGAATATATTTGTGGGAAAAAAAGATAACAAATTTTAGTAAGGTTAAGTCTCAATTTAAATGGTTCAGTATAGTTCATGGATGTTTCAATGCTTTAATCCTAAGCAATCGCATGAAAACTCAAAAGATTCCCTAAAACCTGATTAAATCATGGTGGCACAATTTTAGTTTTTGTTGTACAAAAGGAAAAAAAGTTATTCGCAACAAAAGAATTTATACCACCTATTTTCTATGATATTAAGGAAAAATTAAGGGATTGTAATTTTTTACATTGTGCTTGAAAACAAAAATGACATTTAGTTCAGGTATCACAGCGGTAATAATTATTATTAGATAAAGTTAAAAGCAAAAGTACAATTTCTTTAATAATTCTATCTTTAAATGTATTTATATATATATTATTTTGATTTTACAAGAAATGTATAGTTAATTCATTTTAGTATTTCTGTTTTATTTTTGTTTTTTATGCAAAGTATTAATATCTTTTACTGTATATTTTTTCAATAGTACACTTTTTCAAAGTGTAATGTTTTTTTTAATTTTGTATAAATTTATAAAAAATGACCTTAAGAATAAATATAAACAAATGGGATGTTGGATAGCCGCTGTAATACCTAAAAATTAGAAATAAATAAATATATAAATTAAAAACTCACAGTAATAATATTCCTGTTCGAAAGATGATAATTCGTCCTTCGTTCGTTGTTCGATTCCTTTCGCTTCTTTCTTGTCCTCTTGCGTCACTAATTATTTTTATTTATTTATCAAATACATAAATTTTAAAGTTATTATCGAAACAATATTACATAGTTCGCAGCACAATAATAATAATCACGAAATAATAATTTTACAACAAAAAATCGCCGTTAATTTTTTAATTACATTTTATAATAATATAACTTGATAATGTCCTAATTCCTTTCCTCTTCTTATGAAGAATATGATGTTGAAAACATAACTGAAAAACATATATTAAGGTATAATTAGAAAAAAAGAATAAGTACGAACTCAGTTCGTGTTGAACGCTAAATAACTTTATTATACATTATCGGAAAAATAAGTATTTTATAAAAAGTCTAATCTAAAGCTATTCTACAGTGTCAAAAAAAATCCTCAATTTTTTGAGAACTCAGAACATGTCCCTGAGTATGAAAAAAATTATGAACTATAGTTATTGTTTATAAAACTGTACAGCAGTTAACATTAATGTCAGAAAAATAAAAATTTTATTAAAGTCTAATTTAAGGCAAATAAATCTACGGCAATAAAAAATATTTACTATTGTTATAAAACTCAGAGTATGAACCTTAACCTTGAGTAAAAAAAATTATAAACAATAAGTAAATATTGTTATAAAATGGACAGCAGTTGACATTAATGATCTGAAAAATGGGAATTTTATTTAGAAGTTTAATTTAAATAGGCAATTTAAGAGGGTTTAAAACGTCAACTATTTTTTTACAAACTCAGTGAATGTTCCTGAGTATGCAAAAAATGTTAAAATTATTTCTTTTAATAAATTACATCAGTTGAAATTAATATCTAAAAAATTATAATTTAATAATAAAATCTAATTTAAAGAAATTCTAGGGGGGGGGGTTGAAAGTAACAACAATTTTTTTACAAACTCAATAAATATTCCTAAGTATGAGTAAATAATAGCTATCGTTCATGAAAGAGTACAGCTTGAGTAATTTTTTATTGGAAATATTTTTTAATAAATTTTAAATTGCTATTATAAAGAAATACTCTACTAAAATGAACAATATAATTATGAGATATAATAAAATATATTTTTATTAAAAAAGAATATGTTTTTTTATTTCATAAATAATTGATAACCAATAGTAAGCATTGTTAAAAAAATTATTATACAAAAAATCGTTTTTTAATATTTAATTTTTGAATAAGTATATAAATTATTAATTAAAATATTTAAAATAGTGTATCAATGAAATAAAAAAAAATAATATATAAAATAATTTTAATAATTGGAATTACAAATATCTAATAATTAGAAATTGTTTATTAAAAAGAAATATATTTTTTGCTACTTACTCATTAAATTAGAGATGACCGAAAATTGAAGGAAAATTCCTCTTTTTGAAATTGTTTTGCTGTTCAGAGAATTCTTGAATATCCTATTCAAATGAAAAAGTGAATTTAAATATTTTTATTTGAGCTATTAGAAATATATAATTTTATTTTTTGGCGAAATAAAACTTTTCCTCATCAAAGGAGATCGTTGAACTGCGACGTTATGTCAAACTTATGGTAGAAGGGGAAATTTTTCCAGGAATGAAAGAATAGAAGGGGAAAGAGCTCAATTTCAATTTTGTACTTTTATTGTCCTCAAAAAGAAGATAGACAAGGACGGAAAGAAAACAACTTTTATTAACAATAGTCATGGTCGTTATCTTTTTTATAATAGGGGATTAACTTTTCTTTGTAATTCTGAATAATTTTAACATCGACTAAATATTCAATTTATGTATTCTCAAAATTTTCAGTAATTTTCCACTCAAATTTTATATTACGAAAATAAAAATTGTAAAAATGAAATAAAATAGTATGTCTTACATTAAAAAGAAGGAAAAATTTATGCTGATTACTTTTTTTTGTTTTTCTAATTCAATAATAATTATTAATTAAAATTTTTAATAACTTATATTTATTTTTTTGTCTATAATTACAAAACTTTTAATTTTATTTATTGCTCAATTTTTATTTATTTTTAATAATGATTTTTAAATTGAAATTAATAATAAATAATGAATAATGATTTTTAAATCGAAATTAATAATAAATAATAAATAATAAATAATGGAAATAAAAATTAATACATTTTTTTAGATAATATTTAAAATTTGAATTTTCAAAAAATTTTATTTGCCGCACAAAACAAATTTTCTAACAACAAAGATAACACCCAAATATTCTTATTTACAATAGGGGATTGACTTTTTTATGACTCGGAATTATTGAATAGTTTCTCGATTAATATAAAAATAATAATTTTCAACTAAAATTTTATTAGAAAAAAATTGAAATTACTGAAAAAAGTATAAAATTTTTGCAATGAAAATTAGTAAACATTTTAATAATTTGTTTTTAATAAGAACTGACTATTTTAAAAGTTTTAATTTTTACTTTTTTTATTTTAAATGTTTTATACTTTTCAAATTAAAAGTGAATAATTATCTAATATCATTTTTAGTTTCGGGACAATGTGTTAAAAAATAATTTTTAGATTTAAATAAAACATTTTTTTGAGTGTGTGAAGTACTAATATTGATATTTCATAGACTTACCCCTTATTGCGTCTTCTATTTCCTCCTCTTGTCGTCTTTATATCACTTCAAAAAATATTGGAAATAATTTTCGCTTGCCTAAAGTCACCTACTTAGTTTTCCACATTCCTATCTACACGGAAAAAAAGAAATTAGCAGCAGCAGTAAACAGATGTTTGCTGTGAAATCTTTGAAAATTAGCTACCATAGCTAAGAAGTTTGCAGTGGCAGCGAACATGTTAGCTGTTTCTCAGATCTGCAGCCAATTTCGTACCACAATTCGATGTCTTCTTAGGCCACACTATTCCGCTTTTGTTCTCCCACCGATGCCTCTCAAGAAAGAGTATGTCTCTGCAAAAAAATTTTTTTAACTTAATCATATCAGTAAAAAAAATTTAAATTTTATATCCATAATTTTTTCTATAAAAATTTATTTCTTTACATAAAGAAATTTTTAATTTCCTATTCAATTGCTAACTACTAATTAATAATAAATAGCACATAACTTTATCATACAAAAAACTATTTAATTTATGCATAAATAATAAATTTATTAATAAAATTAATTATTCAATAGGCTAATTAAAAAAGAATCTAAGCTGGTAAAAAAAATGTACTCTATTTTTTCCCAAACTCAGAATATGATTCTGAGTTAGAAAAAAAATTATAAACAATAACTTTTGTTCATAAAAAAGTACAGCAGTTGACATTAATGTTTTAAAAATAGGAATTTAATTAAAAAGGCTGATTTATAAAGAATCTAAGCTGGTAAAAAATGTCATCAATTTTTTCCAAACTAAGAATATGATTGAGTTAGCAAAAAATGATAAACAATAGCTTTTGTTTATAAAAATGTACAGCAGTTGACATTAATGTCTTAAAAATGGGAATTTAATTAAAAAGGCTAATTTAAAAAGAATCTAACCTAGTAACAAATGTCAAGAATTTTTTTCCAAACTCAGAATATGATCCTGAGTTAGAAAAAAATTATTAACAATATCTTCCGTTTATAAAAATGTACAGCAGTTGACATTAATGTTTTAAAAATTGGAATTTAATTAAAAAGGTTAATTTAAAAAAAATTTAAGCTAGTAAAAAATGTCCTCTATTTTTTCACATACTCAAAACTTAATCCTAAATTAGAAAAAATATAAAGAACAGCTTTTGTTTTTAAAAATGTACAGCAGTTGACATTGATGTTTTAAAAATTGGAATTTAATTAAAAAGGTTAATTTAAAAAAAATCTAAGCTAGTAAAAAATGTCCTCTATTTTTTCCAAACTCAAAACTTAATCCTAAATTAGAAAAAATATAAAGAACAGCTTCTGTTTATGAAAATGTACAGCAGTTGACATTGATGTTTTAAAAATTGGAATTTAATTAAAAAGGTTAATTTAAAAAAAATGTAAGCTAGTAAAAAATGTCCTCTATTTTTTCACATACTTAAAACTTAATCCTAAATTAGAAAAAATATTAAGAACAGCTTTTGTTTTTAAAAATGTATAGCAGTTGACATTAATCTTTTAAAAATGGGAATTAAATTAAAAAGGTTACTTAAAAAATTTGAGCTAATAAAAAATGTCCTCTATTATTTTACAAACTCAGAACTTAATCCTGAGTTAGAAAAAATTATAAGGAGCAGCTTTTGATTTTAAAAATGTACAGCAGTTGACATTAATTTTTTAAAAATGTAAAATTTAATTAAAAAGGCTAATATAAAAAAAGTCTAAGCTGGTAGAAAATTTCCTTTATTTTTTTCCAAACTCAGAACTTTATCCTGAGTTAGAAAAAAATTATAAACAATAGCTTCTGTTTATGAAAATGTACAGCAGTTGACATTGATGTTTTAAAAATGGGAGGATGCTACTACCTAAAAATTGAAATAAAATTCTGTATTCTTCAGGATTGAGTAGGGCTCAGTCCCTACTAGAACTCTGGTGATTTTCAGATGATTAGAAATTGTTAAATTTGGAAGAAGTAAATTTTTATTTTCGTTTATACTAAATTTTGATTGTCTCATGGCGTTCGGGTGGACCTGCTACTACTTAAAAATTAAAATAAGATTCTCTATTCTTCAGGATTGTGTAGAGCTCTGTCCGTACTAGAACTCTGGTGATTTCTAGATGATTACTATTAGAATTATTAAATTTTGAGGAAATAAATTTTTATTTTCTTTTTATCAAGTTTTGATTGATTGTCTATAGACCGTAAAAAGGGGGAAAGGAGAGTTGGAGAAATTTGGAGGAATAAAAATGTGTTGTTAGGGGGATTAAGATTTTAAAAGATCAAAAAGAGTATATGCTTAGTATTGAAAATAAAAAATAGATTGTAATTAATTTCGCGTTAAGAATAACGTTAATGATTTTTTAACTCAACAGATAATTTTTCTGTTTGTTGTTTGTAATAAACGAAAATGTATTATTTATATTTTGTCGACTAACCTTTCATATTCAGTGCAAGAATCTTGCCATAAAGTTGACTCAGGATGTTCATATTTTTCTTGTAGTATGAAAATTTTTTCTTGCTTGATGCTAACCGTATCTTATTTTGCTAATTTCATAGCTAAAATAATTGCATTTTTTAATTACAAAATCCTTAGCTACATAATTTAAAGTACAATTTTAGAGAATTACTTCACGATGAAGACAAACAATTGAAAATATACAAATATTCGTAATTCTCAGTTAACTATATTCCTAATACCATAGGTAGCAAAGCATTAAATTTTATTATTAAGATCATCTAGGCGATCGTAAATTTCACTTAGATGTCCAGTGTTATTTTGTCTATCCATCTCTCGTCGATGAATGTTAAAAATAAAATAGAAAAAAATTTCTCTGCAAAAAAATTCATTTTTTAGGATAAGAAGAAATAAAATAAATTGTTAAAAGTACCTAGTCTATTTATCCAGAGTTTTGTTTTATTTTCTTTATAATAAAATAAGTTTTAATTTATTGCATTTATTTTTATTTCGTTTTATATTAAACTTATTAATAAACCGTCAAGTAAAAAATAATTTAAATAGGTTGTGGCTACATTATTGTGAGCGAAAAAAATTTTTATTTTTATTTACTGTAATTTCTAAACTAATTGATTTAATTCAACGAACAAGGTATTATTTTAATTTCAATATTTAATAAAAATTAAATTTTTTGGTACTCACTTATTTATCAAAGGCAACAGGAGAATTTCACAAAAAGTTTTCTCTTTCTCAAATGGTTTCTATATTAGAAAATTGTGCTGCTTCTTCTCCGATTGATGAAAGTCCGAGGAATTAATTCACCAACACTGTTTAAAAAATTTAACAAAAATTTAGTTGTTCAGTAAATAATACTTTATTTCTAGCAAGTTACACTTCAAAAGGAAAGTCAATGATTGTGAGACTATGGAAAACTTACAAGAGTAGAAGGAGAAATTAGTCAACAAAATAAGAAAGAGAAGGGGAAAGGGCTCAATTTTCTTTTCGAAATTTTATTGTCGTTCGAAGGTAGACAAGAACAGAGATTAAACAACCTCTATTAACAATGCCGAAGATCGTTATCACCCTTGTTTACAATATAGGACTAATAAAATTTCTCTTGAATTCTCAATTATTTGAATGTCGTTAAATTATTAAAATTATTTATTTCAAAAAATTTTCAACAATTTACTATTAAAATATTTTTATAAAGAAATAAAAATTACTCAATAAAATTAAAATATACTAAAATTTCACATAAAAATTTTTTACTGATCTCTATTTTTATATACTAATTAAACAATTTTTTAAATGATATTTTATGCTTTTTTATTTGCAATTATAATTACAAGCTCTTTATTTTTAAATTGTATTTAAACTGCATTTATTTCATTAATACGAATTTAATTAATAAAAAACTTTTTTTTTAAGATTTTTTTTCTGAACCAATAATATTTCAAAACAAAAATTCTAATGAATTTTTAACAGTAATTCTCAATTGCAATTTAAGAAAGAGAAAACAAATTTCAAACTTGTATATTAAGGTGATTCATCCAATAGAATGCAAACCTCTAATTAATTAATATTTCAATAACTAATTGCTTTTGAAAATTAATAATTCTTCCAAAAAATTTTAATAATAATAAAATTTTAATTTTCTAAAAGTTAATTGATTATTTTTTTAGTGTCTGCAAATTCTTTGGATTAACGTTTTTAAATAAAAATTTATATGAACTTTGTTTACTAATAATTCAAAAAGTAACTAAAAATGTAACAACTATTTTTTAAATCTAGTTTTAATAATTAGTATAATTATGTAAATAAATTATTAGGTATAATACTCTCCAAAAATGAATTAGTAGAAAAATACTAATTAACATTATAACCTTCAACAAATGTGCCGTATTCTAATTAGTAGAAAATAACTAATTATTACTAAAAAAACTAATTTAACAGTCAAATTTGAATAATTATTCATAAAAAAATTATTTAAATTTTTGTTAGACATAAATCTGCTAATTTTTCAAACATTTAGAATAACCTAAAAATTACATTAACTAGTGAATTAGTAATTTTTTACTAATAGTTATTCAGAACTGTAACTTTTTCGCTTAATAAACCAATCGGTGCTGTTAAATTGGTCAAACGTGAATAATCACGTGGCATTGGAAAAAATTTTCAGTACACGATTCAAATAAAACATTTCTCTTAGTTAAGGTAGTACGCTCGTGATCGCACTTTTCTATAGAATTTCATAAAATTTGAAATCAGAATAGTTAATAACAAGATCTATGTATTTGCAAAATATTAAAAAAATTGACCGTTTCTAAAACAAGATATTTAAGTTCAAAGTTTGTTATTTAACATGGTTAACCTATGAAAAGTGCATGTAAACGGCACATTTCTTCTAATAACTTCTAAAATTTTCTATAGATTGTTTTAAAAAACTAATATATTATAAATGAATGTTTGAGAAATTTATAACAAAAAGATTTAACAATATTAACCGTTTCAGTTAAAAGATATAATATAATATAATATTCTAACCTGACTAGTATACTTGTGTGTGAGTGTGCCTGTACATAGGGCTGACTATGTATTCAGTACAGTCCAAGCAAAAATATGCTACAGTAACTGCACCATACTATAGCATTTTATTAAAATTTACTTTTGAAAGTGACTGTCGCGAGCGTACTACCTTAAGAAACAATATTTTTTGACTTACCCCTTAACTCCTTGTTTCCTTTTTCTTTATTATCTTGAAATCAATAATTCAAAGTTCGACATTTTTTTCTGTATTTTACTGACTACTGCTTCATTTCCGACCTCTCTCATAAGACTGCGTTGTATTCTGTCACTGAAAAATAAATTATTAATATTAATTAGACAAGAGTAAAATTTTGATTTTATTGATAATTTTTTAATGATAAAATCTTATTTACATAATAGAATTAATATCGTTTATTAATTATTATTACCTAGGATGATAATGTTAAATTAATTTTTTTTCATCTATTCTTATGGGTTTATATCATAAAGCGAGTCTAAACTTGTTTTGTCGCAAGGATATAAACATAGAACTATATGAATAGAGGACGCGAGACATGAAAACACATTAGGTCGATAGAAAGAGACAACTAGTGTACTTAACGTCCCCTCTTGTGTCGTTGTTTTTCAACGCATGCGCGACTTCTTCTTCTTGGTTCAAGTCTCTTAAAGAGCGCATGCGTCGACTTTATACTGGCGTATTCCGTATACGGGACGCATGATTATTCCCAAAATGTCATTTTTCTGAAATGTCATTTTACCGAACTGCACTTTTGCGAATAGTCATTTTTGCGAAAAACCAATTTTTCGAAATGTCACTGTTGCGAATTGTCATTTTTGCGAAAAGCTATTTTTGCGAATTGTCATTTTTGCGAATGGCCATTTTTACGAATTGTCAATTTTCCGAAAAGTCATTTTTGCGAATAGCCATTTTTACGATTTGTCAATTTTTCGAAAACTTTTTTTTGCGAATTGTCATTTTTACGAAAAGACATTTTTGCGAAATGTTATTTTTGCGAATCGACATTTTTACGAATTGTCAATTTTCCGAAAAGTCATTTTTGCGAATCGACATTTTTACGAATTGTCAATTTTTCGAAAAGTCATTTTTGCGAATTGCCATTTTTGCGAATTGTCATTTTTGCGAAAAATACAATAGTGAATTTATAGATACCTACAATTTTCTATTGTATTTTTCGCAAAAATGACTTTTCGGAAAATTGACAATTCGTAAAAATGTCGATTCGTAAAAATGACAATTCGCAAAAATGACAATTCGTAAAAATGGCAATTCGCAAAAATGACTTTTCGGAAAGTTGACAATTCGTAAAAGTGGCGATTCGCAAAAATGACAATTCGCAAAAGTGATATTTCGCAAAATTGTCTTTTCGCAAAAATGAGTATTCGCAAAAGTGCAGTTCGGTAAAATGACATTTCGGAAAAATGACATTTAGGGAATAATCATGCGCCCCCCGTATACAGGTAAATGCTTATATGTCGTCTTTTCAGTTTGCATACTTTTCTAAAAACTAGCATTTCTGTTATAATCTTATTAGTTCGTGGCTAACATTATAGTAAAAAATTTCCCTGAATTAATAACATTATGATAGAAAGATTATGCTTTTTAAATAGGTGTACAAATCGGAAGGACAGCATAGAAGCATTTACTTGTGTATCGACATCATCTTTACTATTATCATCATCATCATCATTATTTTTACCATCTTTTCTCTTATCATCATCTACACGATTATTATCATCTTTATCAATATCATTTTCATAAAATCATCTTCATTATATGTATCACCATCATAATCAACTACATCAGCATTAACCAATTTCATAATTCTATTCAAACTTTTTCCTTCAAAAAACAAAGAACTTTTTATTCAAAAATGTCGGCTTTTATTTGCGGTAGATTTCAAAATCCAATTTGTCCCATATAAAGAGAATGAAATGGTAAAGATAATTTTAATATTTGTCTCCGTTGAGTGAGTGTAGCTTTCCTCTCTACTTATGCATTAGAGATTTAAGCAAATTCAGGGATGCACTAGTATTCGTCCACTGCTCTTTTGCACTGGTTTTTGAGGGATTCATGGCGAATAAATTGGGTGAACTTGAGAAGGGATGGGAGAGAGTTGGGAGGGGGAGATTTGTGCAGGATTCGTATGAAATTTAAATGTATGCTGAAAAGCACTCGGCTTCAACTGTCGTCGTCGTTGTTGTGACGGCAGTGGTGGACATATCGTTGTTGGTTCTTCGCCCACTTTATAGAGTATATACATATACACAATATACATATATATATATATATATATATATATATATATATATATATAAATTTATATAGAATAGCATATAGAATGTGTTAGTAAGTCGCAAAACGGAGAATGAGAATCATCCTCTCCGGAGGAAAAAAGCCAACGTTCTTGCTATGCACCCACTCACACAAGCCCCCTCATTAGCAGATCTGCATGTCTCAGTCCCCAATTATCCCGTCTCTCAACCCATCTTTCTCCCCCCCCCCTCCCACCGTCATTCCCTTCGGTTATTCTGTTTTCCCTTCGAAATTCCCAGGTAGGTGGCTAATATAATATAACAGAGTTCATTTCGTGCCAATTTGCATGTACCGCTGGCTAATTCAGCCAAATTGAATTTGTCGCCGCCTTTCTGGTCGCACGTGCCCTGTCGTCTACATGGACAAAAGGAGAGACAGGAGAAAATGCATTTTTTTAACTCGCGCGCGCCCTCTTAACTTTCTCTTTTTCACTCACTTTGCCTCCTTTCTACATTATGAAACTGAGTCTCTTTTTTTCTCTTTGAGAAAAGGACACTTCACTCTTCCTCTTCCTCTCTGTATTTCCTTCACTTTTCTCTTCTTTCGCTCTTCCTCATTGTGTCTTTCTTTCTCTTTTTATTCTCTTTCTACCTCTTTCTGTCTTTTTTTTCTCTCTCTTTCTCCATCAGGAGTCTACATTAACAAATTTGAGAAGTTAGGAAATTTTTCTCACTAGGGAGACACCAAACAAAATTAGAGAAGCAGCCAAAAAAAGAAAGAAAGAACACCAGGAAATAGAATAAAAATGAAAATAAATGGGATATAATTTTTTTCTCCTCTTTTTTACAAAAGGAAATACTGAAACATTGTTATTTATAAGATTTAAAGAGAGTACATATATATGTATATAAACAATCATACACTTTGACCTAAATATATTTACGTTTATTTCAAACCAACACTTGTGGTTAATGTTGCTTGCGATCGATAAATCAATTTCGTTCAAGTCCGCAAGCGCAGGACAAATGCCAATGGCGTTTGCAACTATATAGCGATATATAGTTTATATCCGGTCACTCTCTCACCCTTTCTCTTTTAAAAAAGTTGCGGGCATGAGGGATGAAAAAAAAGTTGAAAAATTTCGGTTAGCCACCGAGAAATATATCCACTATCGATTCAATATCAATGGAATATTTGATAGATATGCAATATTACAAGGCGATTCGGTTTCACGGAAAAGTAAAAACTCAATTGTGAATATCAATATTCGGAATTAAATTTTTTTCTTCCTTTTATACATAGAGAGACAAAATTGATAAACAAATAATATTACGAAAAGAAGATATTATTTTGTCACGAATTATTTACAGTTGGAAATTCCTATTAGGAATATATTTCTACTGGATTTCAGTGATTCAATCGTAGAATTGCAATTAATTAAAATATTTAAAAATTACAGACTAAGATTGATAATTAAAATCATAATGAAATAAAATAATAATTTTGCAAGAAGAGAAACAAGATATTCCTTTTGTACCTCTTAAGGAAAGAATGAAACAAAACGATTCAAAGCTATTCGAAAATAGTATCCACCGAGACTTTTGCCTCGACTATAGAAACAATACATGGTGGCTCAACAAATGATGTTAAAACGTTGGAAAAGAGAGAGAGAGAGAGAAAGCGTCTCGTGATTTCTTCATTGTCATTCCCGGGGAAATTTAATTTGCTTAATCGGCAGTAGGGACCGGTGGAAAGTTTAAACACAGTTCAACTCTCGAAGGAGGAAATTCATTGGCGTAATGCTAAAGGGAGAGAAAAGGAGAGTATGAGAGAGAAAGAGAGAAGAGATCGAAAAGACCTGTGTTAAATTCTTGTGGTTCATTCATATTTGTAGCATTTCAAATTCTAAAATCAAAATGTAAAAGAGTATCTGGGGATTACTCCGGGACTTCGATTTTTATTCAACAGAATTGGAGGTAATTTTTTGTACAGCTCCCGTCAATGTATGATTTTTTTTCATTTATAATAAAAAAAGAGACGCCAGACAACAGTGAATATTTTCCGCGAATGAAAAAATATTGTGTCGAAAAACTCTTTTTCATTCTATTTATTCTTAATTGTACTTATTTTGTTTATTATATTTATATTTCCACTATTTTTTTATTTATCATTATTCTTAAAGAGTAAATTAACATTAACTTGTTCCAGTCTTTTTTTTAAATTAAAACTAAAGTTTAACAATTAATTTTTTTTGTTCAGAAACTCCAGGAATTTATTTTCATTTTGTGAATATTAATTTTGAAATGAAGGAGAAATTCTCTCGAATGGAAATTGAGAAGCGATTAAAACTGAAAAAGAGCTACAGCACCTGCAAAGACTTACTACGCCCATGGCCGAGCTGACGCACAATACCTTTTCCGCGGGTGTGAATGGGTCTAAGAAAGCGTCGGCGGAATACAATAATTACTTTACCTCAGATTTACGAGGAGCGGGAAATTGAAATTTCAGTGCCACCGCGTTAGCTAACTTGCCTGCCTGCCTGCTTGGACGGTCGGTTATACCCCGAGAGCAGTACAGAACATTTTCAATTATGGCATTATAATTTGTTGCCCCTAGTCCCCCCACCCCTATCTTTCCCCATTCTCTTCTTCTATTTCAACCCGCACACGGCAAGAGCGCTAGCGTTGCTTATACCGAATGCACACTCGCTTTCCTTCCCCCTCTCTTTTTCCCTCAGTTACCGTCGAGATTATATTAATTTAATTTTGTCTTCTTTGACCATGTTTCGGACACCCTTGCAATGACAGACGGAATATTATGACTCGACACTTTCTAGACTTCCATGAATTTTCGCACTTTAGCCAGCTTTTTTTTTATTTCTACTCCTAATTGGATTCCTTTTTGATTTTTTAATTAGTTTTCAAAGAGGTAAAAATTAAAAACAGAGCGGGGAATATTTTTTTTTTACTTTTAAATTCGAAAGTTGATTTAAATTTGAAAAAATAATTTGTAATACTGTACTACGCCACGCC